TTTTTTGAGAAATTCTCCTCTTCTGGCACTATCTTAGTTAATTTGAAATTTCTCCAAACTTCTAGAATAATAATGAAGTTGTGATGGGGCCCTTGAATGAGTTGGATTTCTTGTTATTTGGATTTTGTGCACTAATTTGATTGTTTACTAATTTACCCTTTTTATGTAGATATTTTTCCATTATGGTATGCGAGATTGGAAAGGATTTGTGTTGTTTCTATTTTTTGGGCCATTTATGCTGTGACAAAGATGGAATGAATCATAGAATCAAAGGCGGATTTAAGGGGCGCCTAGGGAGCAATGTGCCCCCCCCCCCCCCCCCCCCCCCCCCCCCCCCCCCCCCCTCTTTTTTTTTTTTTTTTTCCCTCTCTCTCGAAATTTTATTGGGTCAGGTAACCTGATGTAGAGATACTTCAGGTAACCAATAAAAAAATATCACATGCACTTTAAACAAAAAGCACTCAGCTTTAAACAAAAAGTAAATGCATGTGGCATTTTTTTATTGGTTACCTGATGTATCTCTACATCAGGTTACCTGACCCAATAAAAATTCCTCTCTCTCTATTTATTGTCATTTTTTTACCAGCAACCATTTCTTATAATTGTGGATTCCATTCTCCACAAACCTGTTATGGCAAGATTTCAATGGACATCAGTTTTGGGTATTGGATTTTTGATAATCTGACGATGATGAGCAAGGCTGAATCTTTCCATTCTAGCTATGGATGGCCTGTATGGCAACCTGGCTGTGGGTTTGAATGGATTCTTTTGATGTATGCGGCTGGAGATTCTGTGATGGCCATCCAATCTAGGGGTGTCAATCCGGGTCAACGGGTTGGGTTCTGGTAGAACCCGAAACTGACCCGGCACTATTCAGGTTAACCCAAACCCGGCCTGTTTTTAAAAACTGGTCAGGTTCCCGGACCTGAACCCAACCCGATTCGGGTCCGGGTCAACCTGATCCGATACAAATGACCCGAGGTTGACCCAAAATTGCTAGTTTTTGGGTCAAAATCGGGTCAATCTTCACTTTTCGGGTCAAAATAGGTCAATCTCGGGTTTTCGGATCAAATATGAGTTTTCGTGTCCATTTCGTGTCAATTTCGGGTTGCTGGGTCAACCCGAACTCGGCCCGGTTTTTTAAATGGGTTGATTTGTTGAACTCGAACCCGACTCGTTTCGGGTCCGGGTTCACCCTAACCCGAATTTTTCGGGTCAGATTTCGGGTCGTGTCAAAAATTGGCACTCCTAAGCCAATCCTTTATACATGCTCTGCTGCTCTGTTCTTGTTTGCCTTCGGTTTTTTGGCAACCTGAGCCTTCTCAGCTGCTATGATGGCTATTTTCTGATAGATTTTGATGACTGAGTTCTGGTATTTTTTCTCTGAGTCTTTTTGGTTATTTTATTCCCTTCTCGTTGCTTTTCTTGACGATTGGTGGATTTAATTTTGTTTTTCCTTTCTCTTGCCTTATAGGTTTACATGTAATTGAATTTTTTCTTTAATACATGGGTTTTTGCCCTAGGTTTACCCAAAAAAAAAATTTGTTATTTTGTACTTGCTACTAGTTATAGTCTTACAACTCTCTTTTCTCACTCTCTCTCTCTCTCTTTTCCATGAGGGTGAGATGATTTTAAATTTTTTTTTTTTTTACCACTCTCTTATGAGGTTACCTTTTTTTGTTGATTTTTATTAGAACATCTTAAATCTTTTTTTTTTTTCATTTATATTGATCTCTTTATTTATATATTTACCCATTTTAATCCTTTATCTTCACATTAATACTTTTCTTAAAATTTAAAATTTCATTAATTATTTTAAAATCTCGAAATTCTCTTTTATAAAAAAATTATATAATTAAAACCAATAAATTTCACTAGAGAAAGATTAATAAATTTAAATTTAAATCAAGTAGCTTAAAGTATGCTAATTATAATTTTTTTATATATTTTTATATTTCATCCACGGAGACTTGGGGTGGTTGGTGGGCTAGCACGGTTGGGAAACCCCCATCCTGGGTTCGAATCCCCCTTACTATGGCCTCGCCTCTTCAGTGGGCAAAAGCAAGTGTTGGCCCATTGTCGTTGGATGGCCTCGCTAGGCTCTGCCGAGGGATTAGTTATGCCGCCAAACGCTTCCTTTGGAGTTGCAGAGAATAAATATCCGTGTTCCCAAAAAAAAACACCTCACTCTCTCTCTCTCTCTCTCTCTCAATGTATATATTTTTATGGAATTGAACCACTAAAATGATATAGAAATAAATATAAAAAAGTAAATATTAGAAATATAAATACATAAAAAAATTATGTAGTGCATATGAAAAACTCCTTTTTTATATAAAAATTTGTGTTCTATAGTGAAAGAGCTGAGCTTTATTGAAGAGCTCAAGAGTTGGAACATCTAAAAAGTAATAATAAAATAAAATAGTAAGCTGAAATAATCACAACCAAACCAAAAAATGTTCACACAAAATAAAGATGCCAACCTTCTCCTTGAATGGGCTGGGAAATGCCAAGTCTTCAAAGATGCAGCTGCTGTCCAGGAGCTCATTCAATTTCTTCATATCTTTATTGTTGAGATGTTCATAGAAATGTTTAACCAAATTTATAAGGGGCGAAGGCGAGGAAGGAAATATCTCAACCATGTTATCTGATGTTCTAAGGCACCTTAATGCCAAATCTATCTGCATTTTCTTCAAATTTAAAGCCATGGAGTCGCATCTTTGCCTCGGAAATTTTGTGGCAGAAATGCAGGAACGGAAATGAACTGATGAAAAAGTAGAAAAAAGGGGTTTTACTGAAGATTTGAGAGTTGGGGATGCAAGGTGCAGAATGGCAGCCATGATGAAGAACAATATGGGAGATTTCTACTCTTTTAAGGCGAGTAAAAGGAAGGGGGTTTGGAATAAAGACAGAGAATAAAGAGCCAACGCAGAGCATTGCTTCTTGAAATAGTCCAGGAATATGACTTGACTTGTTTTGGTGCTCTTCTGTTACTCTTTGAAGATTGATTTGAAAGGAGTTGCTGCTTTTGATAGGAGCAAAGATCTTCTATGAGCATAGCTGGAAGAGAGATGGTTTCTGATTCTGTAGAGACTTTGAACTGCTGGAACCATTTTTTACCATATGTCATGTTTTACAGCTCTTGTCTTTTACTTTCGATCCATCAAGCAAACAAAGAAAGTTACGATAGTTCAGCTTCGCCTAGCGCCCGAGGAAACTAAGATGAACAAGTCCAACATTTACTGAATCAGATGTTCCAGCAAGTAATTAGGGGACAATAGTTTCTTCTGCCGTTTTTTTTTTTTTTTTCTGGCAATTGTAGTGCAAGATTCCGTGAAAGGCTCGACATATAAATTCAAACTCTTCTAAGAGAATAATTATTTTATGAGGACCTCCAATGTTGTCTGTGGACTAATCAGAATACGTCACATCACTGTTTGCTTGGTATCATGGCTCAGTACTGCTTGGTACCACGACTTGGTATTGTTGACGTGACATATTTTAGTTTGTCTTCAAATAAAATTCTACATCCGGTCTCCGCACAGAATAATTTCTCCTTCTAAGAGATCATTTTGCCAAGAAAACATTCAATGAGATGGTGCAATAATTATCATGATTAGCCTTATGCCAACTATTTGGAATCAGGCGTTATGAATCCTTATTTTTTATTTATTCTTATTGAGTGCTGATAAAAGTGTTAAATTTATTTTTCATAATAATTTTGAACAGCTTACATCCAAGTAATTTAAGGTTTGTCACTTTTTTTTACTAATCCTTTGATAATAATTTAATCAACTCAATTAATTTGTATATTTTCTAAATTTCATAGTACATTTTAAATAAAATCACTAAAATTTATTTTCAATAATATTATTTTTAATAATATCATTAAATATTTCTTTTAATATAATCATTTCTTAATTTATTTTTCATAATTATCCCTCATCCATATTAAGATTGTGATTTTTGTTACACTAACTTCATATCGCTGACTTTTTTACAACCCAGTAATCAAATTCATATAATATCACAGACCTAATTATAATTTTATAAATTTAATTTTAAACCTCCCTGATTCTCTAATTACAAAAAGACTCCCAATGCACTTTTTCATTTTAACCATCTAGCATCAATGATAGAAATTATATTATCCTTTATATCTCTAATCTTATGTGTAATAAAACTTAAAATCTATCACATAAAAATAAATAAATAAATAAAAATAAAAGAACAAAACAAAAAAAAAAAAAAACCCTTAAAATCTATCACATGAGTATTATATTCTAATAAAATAGAATGATAATTTTTAACATCATATGCATTGCAATTATATATTATGTAAAATTTACTCGATTTTTACTATATTTTTAATTCTATCTTCTAAATATTTCCTCCACTACAAAAATACCAAATTGAAATTGTAAAACAAGAAATATGATAAGGCTAATGTACTTCAGCCTGGCAATCTCAGGGAAAATGACTGAATGAAACTAAGGGATAAGGCTACGAAATCCTCCCAAAACATGCCCTGAAGACTATGAAATCCTCAAAACTTGCACTTCAGGTAAACTTGTCAAAGCATTCCTTATTGTGTTGTCAGCAACAAAATAATCAAAACATCTGAAATAAAAGCAAAGAATACAGCAGAGCATACTTTCATAGTAGTCTATTTCATAATCTTCTTCATTGAACACAAGATTCAAAAAAAAGATGAGCGGACACCAAACAGTTCGGAGACCAACCAGAACGACCACATCACCCGATACCGAGAAAAAAAATGATGTGGCGAGTTCTAGTTGGTTTCCGGATACCGATTTGGATCCGCATAGAACAATTTATCCTACTTAATATAAACACTGGCTCCCTCAACCCAGAAAATATTGGCATTGATGAGAATCCAAATATATATATCATAAATGCTATTCATTGGTTGAACTTTGAACATTAAGTAATATAAAACCAAAGCTTAAAACATTATTAAAGTGAAATTACGTGGCACAGACCAAAAGCAGAACTTATCATAACAGAGGAAAGCCACTTTCCAAAACACTTTTAAAATTATCTTACACACAAACACAGAAAGCTCCTTCAAACAAACCAAACATTCGAAGACATACATTAAGTTTTAACATTCAGGGAAAGAAATATATAATCATAAAAGAAATGTCGCATTTACCTCTGTTCTATACAAGACCCTCTGTATGCTTAAAAATACTTGAAAAGTCTAAAATTGCTATCAAAATCATGGCCTGGAACCATCCTGTTAATAACATTTGTTGCTGTATTTTGACCAGGGAAAAGGTTTTGTGAGTTGTCTGTGATACACAATGATGAAACTGCGTGTGCTGCAATTAGGCCTGCTGAATCCTCTACGCCAAGCTCCAGCTCTTCATAATAAGGTGCATGGAGATCTCTGCCATGCAATCCGGATGAAAATGGCATTCCATTGGCCAAATCATTCCATTTATTTCTGGACGCAAATGCGTAAGAAATCCTTCCTGTTTCTCCTATGGAATATTTTGCAGAGCTGTGGTGATCCATCAAGTGGCCAAGATTGCTAGAATTCTCAAAAGAATTAAATCTTTTAATGTTATTACGCATAATTAGGGATGATTCATCTGCATCTTCTCCTATAAGAACATGTAGAGCTACAGCCTCAGCTGTTGCAGCACCTTCCTCATCCAAACGTTGTTGTTCTTCCATTTTCTTCAATTTTTTCTTCTCCAACTCAGAACGAATGGCTGCAGAAGTAGCAAGAGCTTTTTCTAAACGTCTCTTTTTCTTTTCAGCTTGCTTCAAGCGGTCAACTTCATCTTTAACTTGTTTCTTTTTCTCCTTCCTTAATCCTATTGGAGCTTGTTTCCTTCCCAGTTTATCCATGACTAATGATTTAGCCAGCAATTGGTTTCAACTTATTGCCTTTAAAAGGATCGACTTATAAGAGAAAAAATCCTATGGCACCTCACAAAAAGTAAAACCTATATTTGATGAGATCTAAATTTTTCTCAAGATCTGGACTATTTTAACTGAACCTCAGTTCCTACACCCATTCAGGCCTGAACGAGTACATAATCTTGCGAATGGTGCAGTCCCAAACCGACACAACAGGAGAAAGCATAAGAGAGAAATAAAAGACCTTGATTGATGCATCTCTAATGGCTTGGTTTCCAACTTTATCACAAGATCGCACGCGATAGCCCATATTAGTCAATCCTTGCCAGAAAGTTCTGAATCTTCCAACAGCAGCAAAACTTAAGATGTGCGACCCAACAGCTCATAAGGCCAATTTACTACAATAATGATAATAATAACAAAAAAAAAAATTAGTTAGGTTCAAAAATCTGGGAGTGTACTTATTCCATATAAAGACTTGCAGAAGATGATAGAAACAGAAAAAATTCAGTAAAATTGGGGGACAAGATTTTGCACAATTTATATAATCAGTAATCTAAAAATAAAACCAATGGAACAACATGGAAGCAATGACAACTTCCTCTACGTGATCAAATTTCGTGTTGTTATGTCAAGGAGCCACATTTAGATTTTGATATATAACATCAAGTCAGTTTGGTTTTTTAGAGGATTTGCAGGCTACAAATTTGATGTCAATTTATTTTTTTCAGCAGATTTGAAGGCTACAAAAATAAAGGTTGCCATTATTATTCTTTATCATAATTAGATTTATCTCAATTATTTAAATTGATAGTCATAATAAGCTTTATCCCAATTATTTGAGATCAGCTTTATGAACCCTCCCAGCCAACAACAACAAGCCTTTATCCCACTATGTGGGGTCGGCTACATGAATCATTTTTCTCCATTGTATCTTGGTAAGAGTTAAATCTCATTTAAATCTAATAAGGAAAGGTCATTTCTAATATTTTCTAACCAAGTCTTTTTAGGTTTATCTCTAACTTTCTTAACATAAATCAAATATAATACAGCTACTTTCCTAACCGGGTCATCGGAAAGCCGCCGTTTTATGTGACCAAATCATATGTCACTAATCTTATCTTCCACTGGAGCTACTCCAACCCTTTCACGTATATGCTCATTTTGCATCTTGTCTCTAAGAGTAAAGACACTCATCCACCTGAGCATCCTCATCTTTGCAACACTAACTTAATATTATGCTTCTCTTTTAATGACCAACATTCTGCACCATAAAACATTGCAGGTCTGACCACCATCTTATAGAATTTTTCCTTAAGTTTGAGAGGGCCTTTTCAATCACACAACAAACCCGATGCAATCCTCCACTTCAACCATCTAGCTTGAATTATATTGATAATATCCCCATCTATTTCACCATCATTCTGAACAATAGACACAATATATTGAAAACGCGTACTATTATTCATTACTTGATCACCCAACGTCACAATCCCTCCACTAGATCTACTATTACTAAAATTACACTCCATATATTCAGTTTTAGATCTACTCAAACGAAAGCCTTTAGACTCTAAGGTTGACCTTCATAATTCAAATTTACCTTTAACTCACTCTCTAGTCTTATCAACAAGAAGAATATCATCAGCAAAAAGCATACACCAAGGTACAACCTCTTGCAAATGTCTAGTGAGAATATCCATGACTAAAGCAAAAAGATATGGGCATAACTAGATTTATCTCAATTATTTAGATTGATCATCATAATAAGCTTTATCCCAATTATTTGAGATCAGCTTTATGAATCCTCCCAGCCACATTTCCAAAAATTGCAAGGGAAATAAAATAAGAAAAATAAAGTTCAACAGGATTATAGGTTGACATAACTAGTTAAGATTTAAAATAAAAATGAATTCAAACACAAATAAATTAATATTTAAATCTGTATTTGCCAAAAATTTCACGTGATAGTTAAATAAAATAAATGAAGGTTTTGAAATTTGAATTGTTTGGAATATAATACAGTAATTAACAATTTGATAAAGTAGCTAAATATACTGATTTTAAATTTAATGTCATGTGTAAGCCATTAAATATTTTTTCACTCACCATGATATAGCTATAAAATGTACAAAAAGTTATATTCATAAGTCAGTGCACTCAATTTTTATATGCTAAAGGCTTGAAAGTTTATTTTGATAATTCTTTGAAGCTAATTTAAATTAAAATATGCATTTCTTCACATTAACTAAAAATCTTAGCATGTGTTTGCCTGTTGAAAGGACATATGGTTTCTGATTTTAGCTTTCCCTATTCTAATAAATATCACTTCATAATAAGAATTGTAGCAAAGACGCCAAATCTCCAACTCTTGGGGCATTGAACTCTCTTTCAAAATATATAATTGTTTCCTGCTGAGTATCGGCTATTTTTATACTAATTTTGCAAATCTAGTTGAAAACTTATATCCATGTTACGTTACATGCATTCCTTAAAAATCTTCCAACACAAACTTTATAAGTTTGTCAAATAGCTGCATTTTCTACACTTGTTGTGCATGCCCCCACCACGTAAGTCAATTTTCAAGTACCTAATCTTTAGTACATATCTCTATAACAGCTCCTCTAATATAATATTTCATTTAATTCTCCTTCCTAATTATTTCACGAATCAAAACATTCTCATTTCAGCCATCTGCAACTTAGTTGTCAACAATTTTTTACTGCCAACAATCAAATCCATATAATATCATCATCCTAGTTATTTTATAAAATCTACATTAAAATTTCAATTATATTATACTCCCATCACATACTACTATAGAGGCACTGCTCCAAATTTTATCAATGCAGCCTGAACTCTGTTTGGAACGGCTTTTTTACTGCTTCTTAAAACAGCTTTCTGTTTATTTTTTGTAACAGAAAGCTACTTTAAGAATCAGTAAGAAAGCCGTCCTAAAAGGAGCCTAAATCTTCATTCTTTTGTCTTAATAGATCCAAGATACTTAAACCTATTACACCCAAATATTATTTTATCTCCTTATAAAATTGAATCATAGTTCATAAAATTGAATCATAGTTCTTAAATCATACCAACTAAAATTGTATATTAAAATCTAAATTTTTGCTCTACTAATTTTAGGTCATTTAATTTTAAACATTTTCTTCACTATTCTAACTTTTCACTTTTTTAAGTAGATGCCTCAATAATTAGAAATATCATCTAATAGAAAACATAAACAAGGGAATCTCACTTAGAATACACTTTATAAGCATCCACTTAACTAATAAAAAAATTTGGAATAAATTTTGATCGTTAATGCATCACAATTCGGAACTCTTTGGTCACTTACTTCACAGCTACTTTTAATAGTAGTCAATGTATATCTTTAATAAGCTCAACATACCTTTAAACACATTTTTCTACCTTAATGTGCATACCAATTATCTAGGCACTCCAATATCTGTCATCTCAAGATCAATAAAAATCATATGAAGCTTATTTCTTTGCTCTCTACACTTTTCAATTCATTGTCTTCAAAAAAAGAAGCATTATTTAAATAGTAGATTTTCATGAAACCAAATTGATTCTCTCAAATTGATGTATTTATTCAAAGCTTATACTCTATTCATCTATCCCATAATTTCATTGTAAAATACATAAATTTGATTCCTCAATAATTGATATAATCTTGAAAATTTTCTTCATCCTTAAATATTGTTAATAAAATTCTTTTAATCATTTGATATTCTCTTAATATTCAAATTTTTGAAAGGATTTCTCAACCAAATCACTGCAATATACCCCATAACTTCCCAAATTCCCATAAGTCTCTATCATCTTGACTTACGCTTTACTTTTATGCATCTTCATCAAAACAAACACCAAGTCACAATCAATCTATAATATACATATTACATGATTTTGCTCTTCCCAATTTATTTCTTCCTGAAAACACGAATTAAATAATTTCTCATAAATAATAATTTTCTTATTACCTTCATCGTTTGCCTATGCTCTTACAATCTTTGCTCTAGAAATTTGAAGTGTTGAATGGGGATTAGGGGCTAGAATTGTAAGGTCCAAAATGAGTTGGGATGGCATGCAAATTGATCTAACTGATCCAACATAGCTTAACTGTATGGGTTCCTCGGGTCAATAGGAATTATAACCCTACTCAATTAGAGAAAATTTAAGGGTTTAACAAGGATTCGGGTCTAAAAGTGCAAGTTGAAGATTGATATTGGATGGTATGTGAAGTGTGAACTGATCTAACTTATCTAACATAGCATAAGTGGATTGATTCCTTAGGTCAAGAGAAAATCTAGATTCTAGAAGGTTGCCTAATATAATAAAAAAATATAGTGCAACGCAACATTTAAGTTGGTTTAATTGTTGCCGCTCCTTATTTGTGTAGAAGATGTCAGATTTAGATTTCAAATACACATCATATTCATTTTTTGTGGAAAAACTTGATGTTTGAGGCTATGTTGAACTATTAAGGACAACTATTACCATGGGATGTGTAAACCTGTTGGATTAGTTATTTCAACACAATAAATTGACAACTATACCTAATTTTCTCATTCATGGGCTTTATTTAACACTGTAAAAGCAATCAACCACAAGAGGTACAAATAAAGTCTGGTTCAATCTAGATTTAGGCTTCATTTGGAACGATTTTTTTACTGCTTCTTAAAACAGTTTTCTAATACAAAATTTTAATTTCTTACTTTAACAAGCAATGAAAAAAGCCGTCCCAAATGAAGCCTTAACTAGGCCCTTTTGTTCTTGCAGTTCACAAACCCTTCAATCATTATTTTCAATTCTATGAGAATCCTGGGTGAATAATTAATAAATATTACCTCTATAGCATGATAAATTTGATTTTGGTCCATTAGTATGACCAAATGGGCCTAAAGTGATAAAATCGAGATATTTAAAAAAACTAAGTGCCATGTTTATTTAAGCTCGCACTTCCAATTAGCATCTATCATGCAAGGTATGAAGACTAACACCTCAAAAAATATAAATAATCAGTCGTCACAAAAAATTTTACCTTTCCATTTATAGCAATGTTTTTAAATAGGTTCTTGCCCCTTAATCTCATTTAATCATTCTTTTTTTCATATCATTCACCTCCATTATCAGACCCCTCAACTCAAAAATAAGATAAACAAATGAAAACTTAGAAGATTATTAGAATGAAGCAATTATATAAAGGTAACCTTTCAGCTCAAAGTATAATTTATCCAACTTTGTCCTTAATAAAACATGCAAGCTTAATCAAGGACATGTAATACAATATTTAATATTAGGAAATTTGTAAAAGCCTCTCTACATAGACCTTTTCATGAAGGGGGGAAATAATTTTGAAGTTTGATATTAAAAAAATCAC